AAATGAGAAGAAAAACAGGTTAGCTAGAGGAAGTCGTGCTCCGTGTCAGGAAGGCCTTACATCTTACTAACAAGAAAAAGAATGGATATCCTATTCCATTGAAGGAGGTCTTACGCCGATTCTCACAAATGTTCGGGTTCCTGTCTCTTTAGTAAGGAATGTCAATGGACTTATATCCTAACTAAGAGGAAAACAAGTTAGAGGAAAGTCATGATTCCATGTCGGGAAGGCCTTACATCCTACTAATTAGGAAGAGAATAGTTATTGTATTCCATTGAAGGAGGTCTTATACTGATTCTCAAGAATATCAAATGTTGAGTTCCTATTTCATTAGCAAGGAATGTCAATGGACTTGTATTATAACTAAGAGAAAAACAGGTAAGCTAGAGGAAAGTAGTGACTCTGTGTCAGGAAGGTCTTACATCCAATAACGAGAGGAAGCTGTGTGAAACTCACACGAAGATGATTTTCTTATAAATTGTTATGAATTCTTAAAGTTTGCTAGGTATAGACCACGTAGAGGAAATTACACTTTGCCCATAGTTGTCTTTAATTGGTTGTTTCAATTTGTTCATTGATTTATATTTGTTTGTATGGGGACACCCGAGGGAAAATACAACTGATCCATAGTTGATTTTAATTAGTTAATTATCAGGAATTGAGTTCATAACATTTCGTAGGATCTTTTTTTTGTTTGTTGGTTAATGTCATGTTCTTTTTTTAATTTATGGGTGTTTGCTTTTACTTTCTTGGACTTGCAGAAGCAATATTGGTATCAGTATACCAATTGTAGCGAAAAAATTTTTGGATCCATTTCTACAAAAGATGTTATGATCACATTAACATATCAAAATGATGTCAAGTGTACATTAAATATCATGTTTGTCAAAATCAAAAATTCAAGTAACATTTATCATCATGCATGTCATATAAATTGACATTGGCTCCCCTGTCATGTTTCTTTTTTTTTTTTTTGTCATATAGCAATCTCCTTTACTAGGAGACCTACTATAGGTACCTTGCGCTTCGAGATACCATCATAAACATGCACATTCAAGTTGAACTAAGTTTATGCTAGATTAAACTTAGGGTTTAGGTTCAATGCTGGTTGAACCTAAGAAACTTGGCTAAGTCTAGTATATGTTAGACTTAGGGTTTAGGTTGAGTCCAATTTGGGTTGGATCTTGGTTTAGGTTCAATTTGGGTTGAACTTAAGGATTCAGATTTAGGTTGGGTCTAATATGGGTTAGACCCAACATTTAGGGTTGGTTAAAGTTAGGTTGAACTTAAGTATAGGGTTTAGGTTGGGTTTAATATGCGTTAGACCCAACATTTAGTGTTATGTTCAAATTAGGTTGAACCTAGGTTTCAAGTTTAGGTTGGGTTTAATATGGGTTTCACCTAACATTTAGAGTTAGGTTCGGGTTTAGGGTTTAGGTTGAGTCTTATATGGGTTAGAGCCAACATTTAGGGTTAGGTTCATGTTAGGTTGTACCTAGGTGTAAGATTTAGGTTAGGTCTAATATGGGTTAAACCCAACACTTAGAGTTAGGTTCAAGTTAGGTTGAACCTAGGTTTAGGGTTTAGTTTAGGTCTATGGGTTAGACCCAGCATTTAGGGTTAGGTTCAAATTAGGTTGAGCCTTTTAAGGTTTAGGTTTGGTCAAATATGGTTTAGACCTAACAGTTAGTTAAGTTGAACCTAGGTTTAGGGATTAGGTTGAGTTTAATATGGGTTAGACCCAAAATTTAAGGTTAGGATCAAGTTAGGTTGAACCTAGGTTTAAGGATTAGGTTGGGTCTAATATGGGTTAGACCCAACATTTAGGGTTAGGTTCAAGTTAGGTTGAACCTAAGTTTAAGATTTAGGTTGGTTCTAAAATGGGTTAGACCGAACATTTAGGATTAGCTTCAAGTTATGTTGAACCTAGGTTTAAAGTTTAGGTTGGGTCTAATATGAGTTAGACCCAACATTTAGGGTTAGTTTCAAGTTATGTTGAACCTAGGTTTAGGGTTTCGATTGGGTCTAATATGGGTTAGACACAACATTTAGGGATAGTTTCAAGTTAGGTTGAACCTAGGTTTAAAGTTTAGATCGGGTCTACTATGGGTTAACCCAACATTTAGAGGTAGGTTCAAGTTAGATTGTTTAGGTTTGGCCTATGGGTTAGACCCAACATCTAAGGTTAGGTTCAACTTTTATGGTTTAGGTTGAGTCTAATATGGTTTAGACCAAACAATTTGGGTTAGGTTCAATTTAGGTTGAATCGAGGTTTAAGGTTTAGGTTGGGTCTAATATGGGTTAAACCCAACATTTAGGGGTTAGGTTCAAGTTAAGTTGAACTTAGGTTTAGGATTTAGGTTGGGTTTAATATGGGTTAGATCCAACATTTAGGATTAGGTTCTAGTTAGGTTTGAACATAGGTTTAAGGTTTAGGTTGGGTCAAATGTGGATTAGACCCAACATTGAGGGTTAGGCTCATGTTAGGTTGAGGCTAGGTTTAAGGTTTTGGTTGGGCTTAATATGGGTTAGACAACATTTAGGGTTAGGTTCAAGTTATGTTGAACGTAGCTTTAAGGTTTTTGGTTGTGTCTAGTATGGGTTATTTTAATTGACTCACCAAGGTTTTGACATTCATATTGATATTCAAGGGACATATGTAGAACATTGAAACTATGCATAGCTGTCTCATTTTGTAACCATTCTAAAGCATACACAACTCTAGAGTATCCAAACTATCATTCATACAAGTCTTAAAAGTCATATGAATTCCAAAGCATTACATTTTTCTTAAAAAACGCCCTTTAGGTTTGCATAAAAATTTGAAATCATTCCTTAATATTTTTAAAGTTTGTGCAAATATTATGACTTTGAAGTATAAACAAAGTTTAATTTTGACTTTAAAAAGAATCTCATTTTGCTCGCTAACAATTGTATTGTGCATTTAATGGTGATTATGCATATCAAGTCTTTATTAAATATTTAAAAATATCATTTATGTTCATATTTGACTCTTTTTATGTATTTCAAATAAAACATATAATGACGTGTTTGTATTAGGACATAAGAATTATAGTAAATCATGTTTAAGCATGATTATAAATTACAATTTTACTTAAGCTTGAAATCAAAGAGAAGACCAGGCACATTAATCAGTGTATTGATAACTATTCATATATCTTTAAATGTCTCATGCACATTTGACTTTATTCTATTTAAAATGATTTGAATGATAATCTAAATGACTAGCTCATATCTTACAACATGTTTTTTTTATGTCATTTTCTTAGTCCAAATCAGTTTGAAAGTCATCCAAATTTTAAACTAATTTTGCGAGTTAAACAAATTCAATTTTAAGTTATTTTACAAGTTCAAAATGTCCATTTTTGGAATTAGTTTAGTAAATCTAAATGGTTCACATTTAAATCAATTTATAAGTTCAAATTGCCCCAAATTTTCAGTCATTTGTAAGTCTAAATCACCTGAAATTTTGGCATCCTTGTCATGTCCTTAGCTTATGGGTAGGAGTGTTAAAAAACCTGCGAACAGCTCGTGTTCGGCTCGCCAAGGTTTTAGTGGTATTTTTTTATAATATGGTGAAATACTTGTGGTATTTGGGTTGTATTATGACAGTATTTTGGTGGTATTATAGTGACATAATAATATACCAGTATAATATCATAAATATACCACCATAATATGACCTAAATACCACTAGTTTATCATCATAATATAACAAAAATACTATGATAATATTAACATAATATCATCATAATACAATCAAAGTACCAGTAGTACACAAACAAAATATCACAACTATACCAGTATAATATCACCAAAATACTACTAGTATACTACGAGAATATCACAAAAATATCACCAGAACTCTACTAATATATTATCATAATACTATTATAATACCATAAAAATACCACCAAAATATCACTAGAAACCACGAAAATACCACTAGAATACCACTAGGATAATATCATAATACAATTAGAATACCACAAATATACTATCATAATAACATTAGAATATCGCTAGAATAATACTAGTATACCACACTAAAATATTACAAGAATACTACCAGAATATTACCATACCAGAATATCACCAGAATACTATCAAAATACCACCATAATACAACTAAAAAACCATTAGAATATCACAAAAATACCAACAAAATATCAGTATAATACAAATAGAATACCACAAGTATACTACTATAATATCACCAGAAAATCACTAGAATAAATATATTATCACAATAACACTAGAGTATCACAAATATACTACTACAATACCAGTAGAAGTCCACCAAAATATCACCAAAATACCATCAAAATATCATAATGCAACTCATTTTTTTATGCACATGCAGTCTCCAGGTCGGGTGGCGCAAAAAATAGTTTTTTCATGTTTTTTTAATTCATAAAAATAGGTGCCACCACTTTATAAATGACGATGTATTATTAAAATCCAGACACAAAATTGCATCAAACGGCATATTTTCTTCTAACATTTGTGATATAAAAAGAATAGCCAACGTAAGACATAGACATGGGCCAACAAAAAGGCGGAAAGGGAATCACGAGGAAACAAGCTTGTGCGAGGGAACGAGAGGTGGGATAACGAGATAAGTGTGCAAGGAGAAAGATAAGAGGCGAGTAGTGAGCATAACATCGAAATGAGATGTAGCTGGAGGAGAAAGATGGAAATTTTGGAAGTCTCGTGTGCTTTGATCCCGTCTCTACCTTCTCATTAGCCCTATTCGTGATTGTATTTGCCCAAACAAGGGAAGATAGGTGTGGCCTGAAGGAAGCAGGAGATGGGGAAGGGTTTCTGCGCAAAAACAAGAGAATAAATTATATTTAATTAACTTGATGTTAATTAAATATAATTAAATTTAATTGACAACATTAATAATTTTTAATAGCTTCTTAAGCTAAAAAAACAAAAAAACAAAAAAAATCTAAGATAAACGGTTTATGGCAGAGCATATTTATTTCCAAGAGCTATTTCTTAAGCTTTAAGTCCATAAACTGTACAGATGAATCCTTTTAAAATCAAATGAATGTAAACTTCTTTGCAAATTTATTTTCGATCACCTTATAATAATTATAAAGGTCGGCCTTCTCCTTTTTTTCCACATACAAAAATTAGAAAGCAGACCTCTCATGAAAATTAAATGCTATATTTTTCAATATAAACAATAAATAGAAATAATCAGCACATACTAGCAGGAAATTAATTAGGTGAAGGAAGGAAAGCTTTGGATGCTATAAACAGGTATAAATGCTTGTTTCAGACCACAATCTCTTCTGAGGCATCGTTCCGTATGTTGCCAGTCAAATTTCTCCTGCCAATGTCGAAATATGAAAAAAGTGGATAAAATAATAAGATGCTAACAAATATAAAGGAAATTCAAGATGAAGGAAAATGGAAGGAGATTACTGGCAAGGTTTTACGGATAATCATCTGTTAATTCTGCTTTTAAGATGAATAATTAAACTAGTGTTAAATTTATTTTTGGTTTTTGATTTCTAGACCTAACAATTCATACAAATTAGGCTGCAATAACATTTTAAAAAATTTGATTATAAAAAAAATGTTTTCTAAACAAACTTGAAAAATCGAAACTCCAAGTATTTGATAAATTTTTTAGGGGGAGAGAATTTTGGATTTTGTCATTCTCCTCGGGTAGTGGAATCTATAATTATCCTTTCGGAGTTTGGCTTCAGATGTTGATAATGGGCATCTGTCTTGTTTAGTTGTTTGGATGAGAATCTGGATTTTAATTATTTTGAAGTTTTATCTTTTGAGTTTTAATTTAAATTTGGATGGAGTTGATCATATGACAACTTGGTTTACTGGCCCGGTGATTTAGAAGTCTAAAAATAGAGGATCTAAGTCATGCAATTTATTAACTTCGACTAAATGAAATCTCTTTCTAAAAGTCAATCGTGCGCGTGATTACTTGATTAGAGGGAAGTCACTTTTTTTTTACTTAAATTAAGCTTGGTTTTGCTTATTTTGGTACTTTCGGTTCTTATCCTTAACTCACCATATATAACATAAGGCTCGAATTTGGATTTGAATCAGATTTAAATTTGAACACTTTCAGATCCTTCGACTTAATAATAACTCCACAAATATATGATGTTATTCCTCATCAGGAATAATTTAAGTTTGAAATAAACTTTTAGATATGTTTAGTTGTTCCCCAACCCCACACAATAAATAAATAAATAAATGAATAAATAAAAAAAAATACACACATAGTAGATAGATATATTTCTCCTTTTGTAATTATGAGGAATATGAAATCAAATTTCCTAATACAACAACAAAACAACAAAACAACAAAACCTTTCTCCCACTAAGTGTGGTCAGCTACATGAATCCTTTTCTCCATTGCGCCCTATTTAGTGTTCTTTTTCATTTAATTCTAATAAATTAAGATCATTTTTTACACAATATGGTCAAGTCTTCCTAGGTCTACCTCTGCCTTTCTTAACATAAGTCGTATCTAAAACATCTGCTCCTCTAATGGGATCATCATATGGTCCAATTTAATTTGACCAAACCATCTAAGACAACCATCTAAGACGACAACTCTCTAATTTTGTCCGTCACTGGAGCTACACCAACCCTATCACAGATATATTCATTTTGCATTTTGTCTCTAAGTGTAAAGCTACTCATCCACCTAATCATTCTCATCGCGACAACACTTAACGTAGTATTATGCTTCTCTATTAAAGGCCAACATTCAGTGCCATAGAGCATTATAGGTCTCACCACCATCTTATAAAATTTTCCTTTCAGTTTAAGTGGTACTTTTCTATCACATAATATGTCCAAAGCATTCCTCCACTTCAATCAACCAACTTGAATTCTACTAATAACATCCCCATCAATATCACCATCACTTTGAACAATAGACCCAAGATATCTAAAGCATTCACACCTTCTAATAATTTGATCACACATAGTTACATTTCTGTCACTAGAGCTACTACTAATAAAATTACATTCCTTGTATTTAGTTTTAGTTCTACTCAAACGAAGGCTTTTAGACTCCAAGGTAGACCTCCATAATTCAAGTTTTCTTGAGCTTTTTTTCTCGTGTTATCCACGAGAGGGATATCATCATCAAAAAGCATACATCAATGTACATCCTCCTGCGTAAGTGTCCAATAAGAGAATCCATAACTAAAGCAAAAAGACATGGGCTTAAAGCAAATCCCTGATGTAAACCAACAGAAATAGGGAAATATTTGGTCAATCCTTCTTCTATTCGAACAAAAGTAACAGCTCTTGTATACATATCTTTAATGACTAGAATATAAGTCATATCAACATTTTTCTTCTTAAGAACTCTCCAAAGGATATCTCTTGGAACCTTATAGTAAGCTTTTTCTAAATCAATATAAATCATATGTAGATCCTCCTTATTATCTCTGAACTTCTTCATCAAATCTCTCAATAAATGTATAGCTTCCATAGTAAACTTGCCCAGCATAAATCCAAATTGATTATGAGAAATTATTGTAATATGTCTTAACCTATGTTCAGTTACCCTCTCCCATAATTCTAAAGTACGACACATCAACTGAATTCCTCTATAATTTGCACACTTTTGTGCACCCCCTTTATTCTTAAAAATGGAGACCAAAATACTATTCCTCCATTTCTCAGACAACTTTTTAATTTTTAAAATAAAATTAAAGAGTTTAGTAAGCCAAGAAACTCCCAAATCTCCTAAATATTTTTGTACTTGAATTGGGATATTATCAGATCTGACAGATTTTCCACCTTTGATTTTCTTTAAAGCCTGCTCAGTTTCTTTTTTACTAATGTGACGGTAAAAATGAAATATTTTATTATTATTAGCGATATTAAAATCACTAAGGTCGATCGTATTTTCTGACAAAACATGACAAATTTTCTAATAATAAAATTTAATTTAATTTAATCTATTTTATTTATATTTGTTTAAAAAAATCAATCTTAACCCTAAAAATGAGATGTTTGTCCCTTAAATATTGAGGTAAGGGGAGCCTTAAGAGGTGCCACACATGTTGTGAGGTGAATGTCTTGCAAGAGAAACCATAAAGCATATGTCTCATTGTGAAAATTCTTGCAAGGCATTGAGATGGATCTTATATTATGCAAATTTAAATCATAATCCCACCAGAATTTGGCTCCAATTTAGAAGAAAAGTTATGCAAACTAAGAAAAGTTATTGTATGGGTTTAAGAAATCTCAAAGAACATGACTTAGAATGTTCACCAAGAAAAACTTGAATCATACATTATACATTATCTATAAAATGTTCAGCTTAAAGGGGAGTCTTCGCACTATTGACTTATTGTCAATATGGCCATGATAGTGATTTAGAAGAAACAGAAGGTTAGGAAAAAGGAAATTTCGAGATTTGATTTTAAGTATTAGTAGCAGAAGTACTTTTTCAGCATTAAGTTTGCTTGCTCTCAAAATAAAATCTTCACATCACAACAAAAAACGAATAATAGACCTTAACATAGAAAATATATAAGTTGGAATGCAAATCGATAAAGAGCTCCATAAAATTAAATTAACTTAAAGGAGCTCTAAAAGACGGAATAGTAGAAAAACCCTCTTCTAAAAGACGTGGACTTGTTTACTTATTGCGTTCTAGACCCGACATTGCCTGTGTTATGAGCCAATTTATGCATAATACTAAAGAATCACATCTCACGACAATGCATCAAATTTTATAATACACTAAAATAGCATTAGGTAAAGAAAGCTTATTAAAAAATGTAAGGGATATGACACTAAAGCTTACACAAAGATTGAACATGCAGAGAGGATGGTTGATGAATGGTGAAATTCCGTATGTTGCACATACTTAGGAGACAAACTTAGGACTTGAGAAGTAAGAAAAAAATAAAATGTAGCAGAAAGATCAGTGCAAAAATTAAATTTTGATCTCGGCATATTGCTATATCTAAAAATTATCCTGAAAATCTCTAAAATTAAATGAAAAGGCCCTACAAAACTATTGTGATAAAAAATCTGTAATCAATATGACGTACATCCCGAACAAAATAATTGTACTAAGCATGTTAAATTTAATAGACTGTTAATTGAAAAAGGTTGGGCAACTTTCTTATTTGTATGCCACTCATTGCGACAGGTGACTAGCTTCTAGACAACCTCACAAAAGATTACTAGGAGTAGATCTTCAAAAGTTGTCATAAAATTTTGGAGTGGATAATATCCATTCAGCCACACGGAAGGGGAGTGTTAAAAAACAATAGAAACCGTGCCTGCGATCAGTCCAGTCCGCCACCCAGTAAACCCACACTAGTCCACTGTCAATTCCAACCTCCTAGAAATCTGTTCTAGCAGCCTTCCTCCTAGTAGTCCGCCTGCCAGCCAGCTCATGGCGGCTTCCATCGTCAATTCTAGTCTCCTAGAATTCCACCTCCTAGTTGTCCATGTTTGATTGCCACATCATTAATCTACGTGATCATTGTTGACACCTCACCAATCCATGGGTTGTTCAATTGTAATTAAAATTTGTAGCTAAGTTTCAGGCCCTAAATTTTATCCATTCCCTATCAGAGGTTTATTAAGATTTGGATAAATTAAGCATAAATGGAGCAAAACGCTCAAACCATCTCTCCAATCTTTGTCAACAAATTACATGATTTAGGAGAAGAATGAAGTAAAATTGAGTTGACCAATTAAACATAAATAAGAAACAAATAGAAGAGATAGCTTTCTACCTTTGGCCCTTCTGTGAGGCTTAAAATGAGGAAAGAGACCAAGAATATGCTCTGCCATAAAGTCATGCCGTGTAAGAATACCAACAATTGGAGGCCTCTGTAAAAACAAACAAATATCAGCTACGACAAGGGCATAAAAAACATTTAGATGTACTTTTAAGCGACAGAGTACAGTGAGCGTATTCATCTCTTATACACACATTAAAATAAAAATAAATAACACATTATTGGACGTTAAATCTTGTTCAATTAACAATGATCAATTTTAAGCTAGTAAAATAATTGCCGCATAAAATTTTATTTCAGTTCAAAATGCATGTATGAGATCTTCAAAAGAATTTCTCTTATAAGATAATTTACAAAATAAGTTATAATAAAACTTTAATTTGACATAATCCCTGTATTTTGAAAAGTCAAAAAGTCAAAAGAAAAAACTCAACATTGGACCACCAGTAGAATGTCCCTTGGTCGAAATGAAATAGTGTGCCAAGTAACTCAAATCTACACCAGTGTACTAAAAAACTTATTAAACTGTGAAGCTCAGCCAATTAAAACAAAGATTCTCCAAACACCAAGCTTTCAAACTGTTGTGAGATATGTACTTCCTGACATAGAAATGAGACGAAAAAGAACACAAGCAAACACAGATCGTTTACGTGGTTCGATCCAACTGGATCTACGTCCACGGAAGAAAATCAATCAAATAGTTCACTAAGGCAAAAGAAATGGAGAATACATAGCTTATACATAGAGATGAGTCCTCATCTTCCTTCTATGACCTCCCTCTCAAGCGACACCTTGATACAAGGTCTCAAGATGCTCTCCTCCTCTCTAGCTCTCTAGCTATTCTCTCCTCCTTTGCGGTAGCTTAAGATCTCTTCCCTTGCTCTCCTAAGCCTCACACCCTCTCTATTTATAGAAGCAAGAGAGTGGTAG